TTTTATCTTCTACCTAGACCACTCAAACTTTCTCCATATCAGCAAGAAGGCTGTTTTATTTTCTTATCATTCTTCACTGAGGTAGCACTTTTATTGCCTTCAAGAACTTTTCATTTGCATTCGCAACTTGGCTAACTGGACCAAGAGGCTTAGCTTCTGGGTTATCTCAACTTTTGATTTGCTTTCCTTGCTAAGCTTAATCATTTCTGCCTTTTGACTTAAAGTAAGAGATGTGTAATTCTTCCTTTCACTTGAATGCTTAGGAGTCATTGTAGGGTTGTTAATTGCCCTAATTTCAATATTGTTTTGTCTCAGCAAATAGGGAGGCCTGAGGAGAAGAGAGATGGGGGGCTGGCCAGTCAGTGGATTAGTCAGAACACACACAGCATTTATCTATTAAGTTTGCTGTCTTATATAGGCACCATTCTTAGCACCTACAAACAAGTGTAACAGTAACATCAAAGATCACTGATTGCATGACCATAACAGATATAATAATAATGAAAAAGTTTAAAATATTGCAAGAATTACCTAACTGTGACACAGAGACACAAAGTGAGCACATGCAGTTGAAAAAATGACACTGACAGACTTTCTCGACATAGGGGTTGACATAAACCTTCAATTTGTAATAAAACCCAGAGTATCTATGGAGCACAATAAAGTGACATGCAGTAAAACAAATTATGCCTGCACCTAGTTTCTCCAGTTCCTGAGCCTCTCTAGTGTTGTGTCACATAACTAGATTTTCTGTTTTGGATCCTCCCATCCCCAATCCTCACAGGCATTAGGTTTCAATATTCTCTAGTCTGATAAGTCATTTGTCTCTCAGACACTTGCTTTCCATTTTTGTAAGCTTTGGTCAACATCTTTTTTATCAAGTGCTAACTTCTCTCCTGTTCTCTTTGTCCTACTGGATTTATTCACTTTTTATTAATTGATTGCCATTTTAGTGGCAGTGGAATGAAGTAGAGATAAACATACGTATTCAATTCTCCATGTTTAACCAAGAGCATTATTTTATATTTTTGAGTATCACTCATCTTCATTGTATGACTACAATAACTATAGCATTTAAAACTACTGCTCTTTTGACTCCCTTATGTGTGGTCTTCAAACAACAAAAATATTGAACTATCTGTACTGATTTTCCTTCAGTGATTATATATGAGCTGTTTACTTGAATTTACCACATTCTTCCTCTGGATCACAACAAGGTCCCTAACAGTGGGGTCACACTGTCTTGACTGTACTCACATGGAACCAGTAGGAGGGAAAATGAGCATCAGAAGCACATGACCCATTTTGACTTTGGTTTTACTGATAAGTGTTATTCTCTAACATATTAACTTTCTTTCTTTCTCACTCCCTCTCTCCCTCCTTTCTAATCTTTTAATGTATCTTTTCAGGGACTCCTTGTTCACATTTACATTTCTAGCACAGTTTTATTTTCCATTTTCTCTTTTTATTGACCTGCACCCTTTGTTGCTCTGCTTTGTGACACTTGCTGTTTCTGGGGATGCGCTCCAATAATCCCTGCTCCATTTAGGAAGGCCCATTTTGCCCTTTAGAGGCTTTGGCTTTCCTCTTATCCTTGAGAACTTTCTTCATACAATTAAAAACAAAGTCTACCCGTTATTTGGCCACTTGAAAGAGCACAGGGCTTTCTTCCTCTTAATTAGCCTCCTTATTAGACCATTAATTTATTTTCATTCTAATGGGAATTTGTTTTCCACTTAAATGCAGCTTTATTTCTCCAGAATCTGAGAAATTTCAAGTGTCTGGAATGCATGATCAAAAAACGTGGTGATTTTCACTTTACATGCTATGGCCTCTATTCTTTCTAGCTCATAAATCCTATCCCTTTTATTGGCTCATTTCCTATTTTTATAAGCATATTTTGGACTCTGGCATGCTTAGCCAGATAAGCAGCCTTAATTATTTACTCTTACAGTTCAGTTCAAATTAGTTAACTTTGAGGTGATATTCTGGTAACTTCTAAAGGAAAATCTAGTCTACTCTCCCTGCTCCCACAAAAGGATATTGCCCGCCTAAGTATGCCCTTAATTGGTTTTCTTTACCTTTGGGATGATCCTTTTCTCCTCTGTAGCAATGATCTATGATCATTTACATGCCAACCCAATGTCTTATGTCTTTCAGTCCACATTTTTAAAGAAGCTTTATTCCTAAGTGGCTTCTTTTAACAACTAATGAGCAGGAAGAGTTCCAAATGCAGTTCCTTTTGTCGATGAAGAAATCCACTCTTCACTTTTAGTCTATTTTCTCTTGCCAAAATCACCTCCAGAAGCCCTGTGATTGGAAGCCTTTAAAATGCCCCCTAATGATCCTTACCCTCCTGATATTCATATCTTTGTGCAATGATTTCACCTTGAGTGTGGGTTCGACTTATTGATTCATTTGTAATGAATGGAATACAGCAGAAGCATTGGGATGTGTCTTCTGAGATTACGTTGCAAAAAGACTGTGGCTTCTGTCTTAGCACCTTCTCTCTCTCATTCTCACTCACTTGCTTGCCCTGAGGGAAGTCAGCTGACACACTGAGCTGCTCTATGGAGAGGTCCATGTGGCAAGGAACTGAGGGAAGCCTCTGGCCAAATACATCCTGCCAACAACCATATAAGTAAGCCTGAAACCCAATCCCATCCTAGTTGAGCCTCTAGATGAGACTGCAGCCCAGTGGACACCCTGACACCAATCTCAGGAGAGAACTTGAGCCTCTAAACCAGAGACACGCAGCTAAGCCATGCTCAGATTCCTGACCCACAGAAGCTATGAGATAATAAATGTTTGCTGTTTGAAGCTGCTAAACTTGGGGATAATTTGTCACATAGCAATAGATAATTTATACCGGCTCTTCAGGCAAATGTTCTAGCTTTCAGTCTATGCTGTTTTTATGATAAATTCTGTTTAGATCATTCTTTCCTTTGGATATTAATTTAATTACTTATGCAAAGTTTTCTTTAAATTTTTTTTTGAGAGCAGGAAGTGGCAGTTGTCAGTCTTATTCATAATTATATCATCATGTGCCTGGCACCCAGATAGATGCTGTTATGGGGTATGGAAGTTTGTCAACTCCAAATCTCATGTTGAAATGTAATCCTCAATGTTGGAGGTGGGGCCTAGGTGGGAGGTGTTTGAATCGCGGCAGCAGATCCCTCATGAATTGCTTAGCACCATCCCCTTGCTGATGAATGAGTTCTTGCTGGGTTAGTTCACAAAAGAATGTGGCACCTCCCCCCACCTCTCTGTCACCACGTGATGCACTGGGCTTCTCTTTCACCTTCTGCCATGATTGCAAGCTTCCTAAGGTCCTAACCAGAAACAGAGGCAGGCACTATGCTTCCTGTTCAGCCTGCAGAACCATGAGCCAACTAAACCTCTTTTCTTTATAAATTATCCAGTCTCACATATTCCTTTAGAGAAAGGCAAGAACAGAGTAACATAGATGCTAATATACATTTACTGAATTTGACCCTTCCGTCTTTTTCTACCTCTCCTAGTTTATAATTTACTCCTCATTTTCTATATTGCCATTTCTTTAGTGAATGAATAGTTAGGAAACCTGCTAGTCTAGTTGGCCTTGACCTTTCTGTCTTTTACCCTGCTTCCCTCCTCTAGAGATTCACTACTGCTGTCGCATTTGAGGCAAATCAGCATCACGTCTCTCTTTCTCAGGGTTTCTTCAGTGGAGCTAAGTCCATGTGTGCTCTTCCACCTTACTCCTGCCTGAACTGGGGGTGCGGCTTCCTTCACTGGGGGGACTGTGCTGCTATGTAACAACAAGAGACACTTCATCATCTTTTTGTCTTAATTATAATACTAAAAGAAAATTGAGTCCCTGGAGATGTTAACTAAGTCTGTAGTCACTGTGAAATACAGAAGCAGAATAATAAGAACTAGGTTTCCCAAAAGAGGAAACATCATATCATAGAGATTCGAATTTGAATCTTAGCTCCACCAAGCTGTCTGACCTTATGGAAATTATTCAGCCTTCTTCAATCTCTTCCTCATTTGTAACTTGTAAATAATTTCTACTTACAGAGTTGTTTTAGGCATTATTCTTGATCTAGTATTCTGTCTATTCCATATTTTATTTTAAATTTATAACTTCGTTGTAATAGGTTGACTTCATGATTACATAATTACAATGATGATGTAAACTTTCCATTTTGACTGATAATTTAAATATAGCAAGACCATGGCATATTTAATTGTTAATAATCGATACTGCTATTAGCGCTTTCCTTTTATGACTTTATTGATGTCAATCAAACCAACAAAAATATTACTTCTCACCAACATTCAGAATCTTCCTCCATTTGCCTTTATTTGCTATACTGTCATCAAAGGGATCAAATATCGTAATGTGATATGATATTGGTGATTAGAGAACAGATGAATTGTTTCACTACTTCTAAACTCTTCAATAGTTCAGACATAATACTTTGAAAAATGTTTTCAAATCACAATAAGTCTACTGTAGTTTGAATGAAAAACATCACTGAAATAATCACGCATACATAAGAAAGAAAACTGATGCATGCCTATTACCTTATAAGTTTACATTGATAGGAAGGTAAAAACCTATGGTAAAATTGTATTTAAAAGACAGTCTAATTTTTTTTTTTAAGTATGCAGAAAGTGCTCTAAAAGTTTATTTGCCAAAGATTTAACATTAAAACAAATAAGATATAAACATATAAAAATTCCTAGTCTTAGAGGCTTAAAATAGTTATTTGCAAGAAAGAACTGGGTGCCGAGAAAACTTTTAGAGATTATGTAGTTTAAGGGAAAGCCAGGTCTGGAGAGGCTAAGTGACTGCCTAAAGTTAAGGACAGAGCACCAGGATGTGACTTAGGTCAGACTAACATTCCAGGGCTCTTTCCAGGAAACTAAGCTGCCTTTCACGTTTTTGTTTGTTTGTTGAAAGAACATGTGCTCTTTGATTAATTGCAAAGGTACCACTATCTGCTTCCTACCTCTTCCTGGGACTTGTTAAATTGCTCTATCAGTTGTGTTTGAGCCAGCATTACTCTTTTCAGTTCATCTGACTTCTGTTTCATTTCCTTCCTCAAGTCTTCTGAAACTGAATCATTACTGTCAATTTCCTTCTTCAAGCGAGATTCAAATTCTGCAACCAAATTTTTAAGATTTTCAATTTCTTTTTCCTTTGACTCAGATTCTTCAGTGTACCGAATATGGGATTCGTGAAGTTTTTCTCTAAGAGCGGTCACTTCCTGTCTTAGATCTCTTGTAGCGCCTGTGATTAAGTCAGATATCTGTAAGATAAATCTCATATTAGTTTGTAGGCGATAGTTTCTAGGTAACCACAGAATTCTTACGGTTTTTAAGAGGTTTATTCTCATTAATCAGTGTACTCACTTGATCAGATGAAAACAAACCCATGACATGCAGGCCTTCAAGATTTTCTTTTTAAAAGACTAAAACATTTATTTTTCTACTTAAAACAGTATCACATTAATCACTTGGGAATTTTTGGAAATATATAAATTTCTGTGACTATATTAAGCTACAAAGGATAGGACAACTCTTTTTTTTGAGACAGGGTCTTGCTCTGTTGCTAAGGCTGGAGCGCAGTGGTGCAGAGGTGTAATCATGGCTCTCAGCAGCCTTGACCTCCTGGGCTCAAACGATCCTCCCAATTCAGCCTCTCCAGTAGCTGGATCACAGACTCATGCCACCAGGCCTGGTAATTTTTTATTTTTTGTAGAGATGGTGTCTCTCTATGTTGCCAAGGCTGTTCTTAAACTCCTGGGCTCAAGCAATCCTCCTGCCTCAGCCTCCCAAAGTGCTGGGATTACAGGTGTGAGCCACTGTGCCCAGTCTCAGTTAAAGTCTTGACAAATAGATCAGGGGCCTGTCTGGACCTAACTAGGTTGGCTTTGGGATCTCAAAATGCCTGATTTTTGGGGAATGCAAGGAGGAGAGCGCTAAAGTTATACTTTACCCTAAGTATACCAATAAATTTTTCTTTGACATAATTTTTTTTCTTTTTTGTAAATAATGGCGGGAGGAACTCCAGATACTATGCCTTCCAGAATAGTACTGCCCAACAGAGCTTTCTGTGGTGGTAGAAATATTCTATGTTATCCAATATGGTAGTCACTAGGCACATGTGGCTACTGACAGTGCTGGTAAATGTTTAACAACTGACTCTCAAAAAAAGAAAAAAAAGCAATATTTGTATCTAATTTCCATGGTGTAAGTACTCTAACCATAGCTCTCAAAAAAGAGTATTGGCTATTGAGCACCTGAAATACGACTAATGTGACCAAAGAACTGAATTTAAATTGTATTTAATTTTAATTAATTTAATGGAAACTTTCATAGCCACAGGTGACCTGAATATTCTGAAAATGTACTGCTTCTCAAGGTGGTACCTCTAGATAAATGAATGAGAGAATAACTTGGAGAAGCTTTTCCTCATAGCATGAAAGTCTTTAGAAAGGAAAAGACCTCTTGTTTTCTTTCTCCTTAAAAAACAAAACAACAAAACAAGAGCTGCTTCTAATGGAACATATCCTTATTACTTATGCTCAATTATTGTCATGTTATAAATATTAGCACAACAAGAAACTAGCCCACTAAGAATCTGGAAAACATTCACAGACCAAGGTTCCAAGGACTTTGTGAACTATTACATAAAAAGAGTTGTGTATCCAAAATTTGTTTCAAATGTTAAATTTACAGAAAGAATAACTTGTGTGAGAAGTCTCTTCACCATAGTTCATAATTTTATAAATTAATATTCTATTATCTTCAATTAATCCAGGAGGGAAGAAGGTCACTGTCAGGTCTGTACAGTGGTTTCCATCACCCAGAGGAGAGCTGACATTGAAATAAAGCAAGTTATCCTTGGGAGAAGAGGTTCACATAACCACAAATATGTTTTTATTTTTTAAAAGGCAGTCAACATTTAAAGATCAGGAGGTTTCACTTACAAAACGTGGATTTATGACTTCTTTTGAGAAACTGTAACATCTGGCAAGTTCCAGCTTGCCTGTCTGCGTTCTCCTGCTGATGGGATCCTGAACCACCCAGGGCTGCAACAGCAGTCACAGAGTGAGAGGAGGAAGAAAAGGGGAGACTCAGTGAAGCCTGGGGCATCAGAAGCCAGGAAGCAAGAGGTGAGAACCCTCTAGGGGAGGCAGAACCTTGGGGGAGCCAAGGCTGTAAGCTTGTAGCACATGCTCCATTGCCCCAGTAGGATTTCACTTACAAAACTCAAGTTCAAAGATAAAAATCACTACAAATTTTTTTTCTTTTAGAAAAGGGGGTCTCACTCTGTTGCCCAATCTAAAGTATAGTGGTGTGATCATAGCTCACAGAGGTCTTGAACTCCTGGGTTCAAGTGAACCTCATGTATTAGCCTCCCAAGTAGCCTGGGTATTAACTGGTATGAACATACTACAGGTATGAACCATCACACTAGGCTAATTAAATCTTTTTTTTTTTTTAAATAGAGACAGAGTCTTGCTATGTTGTCCAGGCTGGTCTTGAATGCCTGGCCTCAAGTGATCCTCTTGCCTGGGCCTCTCAAAGTGCTAGGATTATAGGCATGAGCCATTATGCCCAGTTAGCTTATTAAGAATTTCAAGGTATACCTGCAGAGCATTACATCCAAAGCATGAGACCTTTCTGAGTGTGGGAGCATGTGCTATTGCACTGGTTGTACACATGTAGCTGGTGCTGCCTGTTGTTCACAATGGACTACTGAAATGGATGTACCATACCTCCTGTACACAAATGTAGAAGCCATTAGGTCTTGTCTGATGCTTAATTAACACAGACTCTTTATGCATGTATTCAAAATGTTATTTCCACACTAGGTCTTGACTAATACACATATGCACATACACACTCTACACTCAAGTCCTATAAAAACAGGAAAACTTTAACAAAACCTTTAGTATTTAGAACATACTGCTTAAGAAATTTAGGGAGATGTGATTACATTTTTAAAATATTTCTCTTCATTCAGAAATGTTGAGAATGAAAAATATCTGCAATGAAAGGGTATATGCTTTAGTTGTTGGGAAAATTTTAATTATGTAAAATACCTCATTATCTTTTGATGTTGGATATTTGAGGTGTTGAAATATCTAGCCATACTAATTTTTAGTCATATAATTTATGATGTTTAAAAAATAAGTTTATTCCAGTAGAAAAAATCCATACATAGCTAGATTACATGCTTGTATAACTTATCTCAGTTATCCATTCTGGAGAATTAGCCAAACCATCTTACCTGCCTGGCTAAAACCAAGACACAGTGACCATGAGTGAAAGCTACTGGAATCATAAATACTGTAGTGTTCTAAGGCGAAATATACAACATCTGCAGTTTCAAATCTGTTAAATAATGATGAACGTCATAATTACAGACCTTCATTTGTAGTTCCTCTTGTTCTTTCTTATACTTTTGGATTATATCTTGGTGTTTTTCTTTTTCAATATCAAGTTGCAGTTTCGTTTCTTCCTTAAAGAGAAGAGCTTGCTCTTCAAATTCAACCAAGTGTTGGGCCCTTTCCTTGGCAAGTTCTGCTTCAATCTAGAAATGGCATTTAAAACACATGTAAAACCATTTTACCTTAAAATAAGTACATTAAGCTTATTTTCAAACTCTAAGTTTTAAAATGTTCTGACATTAAATTTTTAATTAAACTATTTTTAAAATTCTAAAAAATTATGTGACTTAAAACTTGGGCCAGAAAAACTGACCTTGTGCCAAATATTCCACCACCTTCTAAGACCTGAAAAATTAGTAGAGGAGTTAGAACTATACGACAGTTTTCAGAAATACTAAAAGCTTAGTTACTTGCTCATTTATACTGTGAACTCAGTCCTTGCCAGCAACTCAGAAAATTAAAGTTTTGTTTTTAAGCAGATTTTGAGGGCTTTAGACTAAGTTCTGCTTAAAACTCAGAGGGAATACAAAGTACAAATGTTGATTTTTCAAGTGGCCCTTTCTTGATGGAGGTCATAGAAAGTTTTGGAGTCACGGATTGTCATTTTAATGTGACTAAAGTGGGAAGGATGATTAAAGGAAAAGAGTCAGTAATGCCGTACAGATGGTCTCCAACTTACAATTGTTTGACTTCTGATTTTTTGACTTTATAATGGTGAGAAAGCAATATGCATTTTCAGTAGAGACTATACTTCAAATTTTGAATTCTGATCTTTTCCTGGGCTGTTGATACACAGTATGATACTCTCTTGGGATGTTAGGCAGTGTCAGTAGGCTGCAGCTCCCAGTCAGCCATGTGCTCATGAGGGCAAACAACTGATACTGTACAGTGTATGTACTGTGTTGCCAGTATTTTTTAGATATTGTGTTTTCACATTCCATCATGTCTACAGAGTACCCATTTTTGACTTACAATACCTTCAATTTATGATGGGTTTATCAGGATGTAACTCCACTGAAAGGTGAAGAGCATCTGTATCCATACTTTGACTCAGATAGCATCATAATGCTAGAAGGGACCTTAGAAATCCCCTAATTCAATTTCTCATGTTTCCATGAATTGTGGAAAGAATAAGCAAGAAATCTGGATGCAGATGAAGTTGAGTTTAAATCCTGGCTCTTAATCCTGGCTCTGCTACTTGCTAACTGAGTGATCTTAAGTTTGTGACTGTAACCCTTCCTGGTAGGGTTATAACTAGTTCCCTTAGGGGTTGTTATGAGGATTAAAGGAGGCACAGCTTCTGTGTAAAGCTCTAACATGAGTAGGAATTTAATAGTCAGTGGAGAGTACTTCCACACTCTGATCCTTCAGTCTCTACTACTGACTCCATACTAAATGACTGACTGCTGGGTGCCTCACACCTCCAGAAACTATAACTCACTCCTTCCCCAGAAGGCATTTCCATTTTCAGACAGCACTAAGCATTAGGCAGTTTTTCCTGTAGTTGAGCCAACATCTCTCTCCATGTGGTTTTTAACCATTGGTTTTGGCTCTGCCTACTGAAACAGGAAAGAGAACAAATCTATGAGTACTGGAGTAATTTACTCCTGGGAGTTCATCTAGAGAGACTGGAGAAGGCAATCTCAGTGACAGGCTGGCTCTGGGCTTACACTGTGCCAGGATTATAAACTCTAAGAAAGGGTAAAACCAGGTAAATCGGGAGAAAAACTCACAACTGATTGGGACTGTGTGATTTAGGCCACCAAGACAAGGAAAGAGATCAACCTAAATTTCTCAAGGGAACAATGAAATCAGGTTCAAGGACACAAATTTTGCTAAGAAAGTTAAAGGAAGTCCTTTACATTAAATAAAATACTAGATGGAAGACTAGCCCCAGTGTGGGGTCAATTGGTTTTATTGTACTGGGTATAAGATTGAGCATCTGCCTTAAGGGAAAGTAATTATGTTTATACAGTATTGGATTTTAGCCCTTTCAAAATAAACTTCTGGATTGTTTGGGATAATAGGCTACTGATGATCTTTTAGCGACATTACAGAATTACAGAATTACTCGGATGGGCTGCTCTCAGACTGCTGAAGACAAAGGAAGTCTCAGGGGCACTCAGAAAAAAAGAAGACTTCTTTTGAATTTCAGGTACGTAAATCCACTTTGCCTCCTGGTAGCCATTTAGATAATTCACAGGTGCCTCCAACGAATTGTATGACCCAGAAATCTTGTAACTACACTCCTCCCATAGCCTGTTTCTCCCCCTTATTTCAGGACACAGCTCTACCATTCATCTAGTTACTCAAGTCAGTAACTGGAACATCATCTTTCACACCTCTCTCCTTTACCCTCCCCACCCAATCCAACACAAAATCCTGTTCATTTTACCTTCAAAAGATGCTTTGCATCCATTTCTCTATGTCTCAACTTTCATTAGCACTTCCCGATCACTTAGTTCTGGCCACCATCACTTCCTGACCCGCCTCACTTTCACTCCTGCTTCACTCCAACCCATGCTACGACACACAGCACAGTATTCTTTACAAAGTATAAATTAGGTTTTTTAAATTCCTTCTTTGTGGTTTCTCAAGGCATTAATATATCAAAACTCCTCTATATGAGCTTTTACAGGGCCACTACTAGCCCATATGACACCTTTGTGTAAACTGACAAAGCACCCCTTCCTTAGATGAAAACAGTCTCATGCCAGGCATAGGACTTGATGAGCAGAGTACAGGCTAGATTCCAGCTCCCTTTGTTGCCTTGGCCTGGTGCAGGCTGCAACTTAAACACTGTATATGGTGGCAGTCCTGGATTCCTCCAGTCTGGCTGCCACTACTTTTCTCATTTGATCACTGTGCTTTGACCACACTGGCATAGATATGTCAAGAATATAAGAAAAGAGAAACCAAATGTAAAACATTTGGAAAAATTGGAAGGCATAATATTAATATAAAAGTCAATAATCAATAACATTCAATTATTAATTATTAATAAATAATAGTCACATAGTTCTTAATAATTATTAATAGTAATCAATAATAAGTGAATAATATAAGCATTAATCATTCATAAGATGCTCTGAGACTATTAATAAAAAAGCAACAAGCTATTTTGAGAAGCTCAAGAAAAATGTGTATTGAGGTGCTAAGATATCAAGTATTTTAAAAAATCTTGTGTGGTTAATTAGTAGAGTTCAATAGCTATTTTAGGACAAAACGACATCTTTCCAAATATGGATTGATTGCTCAAATTAAGACAGTGAGAATATATGCAAACTTGGTGGAACAAGACAAAAATTAGATGACAGAAGGACTTTAGAAGAACCTTTAAAAAAAGTTTTCAAAAATTATTATGGAGATGAGGTGAATTAGAAAATCAGCAGGGTTCCTTTGATGAAGTTGAAACGAAGTATTCAGGGAAGAAAAGGTGATGGCTGATGGCTCGAATGAGTTGAATGTTTTGTTTTACCTGAGTTAGAAAGCAAGATCTTCTTGCCCCTGAACTATTCCTTGAACTACTGTAGGTAAAGAGACAAAACAAGGAAGGAATAAATATACGGACAGTGGGAAAGAACAAGCACTGTAGACAAAAGGGAGAAGAATGATTGACTATTGCTAGCTTGATTTTTAATTTGCACAGTCTGAGAAGGAGAAGCAAAGTGATGAGCTTCACATGGGATTTCAAACATTTAGGAAAGCTGCAATGGGATGCTAAGAGCCATCTGAATGTGTTGACGAGTTAGCACAGAGAAATGAGATTACTGGTTCCTTCATGATCTGATTAGTTTGAACAAAATGGTGAGCCCATAAACACAATGATTTGCTTAAGGGGTGTATTATTTGCCTTTGAGTAGGTGCATTCATGCCAACTTGCCATGTTTTTATTTTTAAATGTTGATATGAGCTGATAATTTAAAATATTTTAGATGACAGGAGTGATGTTTGAGCAAAATGAATAAATTTGTTGATGGCGTACATATAAAGCATGAAACACTTTGTACAATAACTAGTAGTAATTTTGATAAGGAGAAAATTATGATTTCTAAAAAAGCAAGAGTAACATTAACTTAAGATTCACACAAAGTAAAATCAATTATTACCTTTGTACACATCCTAGGTTTTAATTATTTTTGTTTTTTATTTATCTATATCCTCTTCTAGCTCAAACTCCATCTCCTCGGTGAAGGCCTCCAGATGACTCCAGAGCATTCAGAGCATTGTTTTTAAATTTCTTTTGTATTTGTTGTTAAAATGCATAATTAGTATTTTATAAAATCTGTATCTAATACCAATATGCAAAATACTGCCTTTTCACTATTTTCCAAGTGAGATATTTGTGGTTGACTTTGTTATTATCATTTTCTTATTGAACATGGAGCCAAACACCATGTTTGACCATTTATTACTCAATGATACCTTTAAAACCAATGGGAATTTTAGTTGCCAAAGTAGGAATCAAATAATTTGCTTATGTTTGATATGCATATATAATTTTTAAAGATATATCTCCTAAAGTAAATTATTATACTATTTTACAAAAAAAATACTGATTGCAAATTATTACAATACTTCAGATTATTTCTGAAATAGCTACTGAATAAATAATAAAAGCAGATGATTATTCAAAATAGAATTTGCAGTTGAAAAATGAATGCTAAGGAATCAGAATATGTAGGCTGCAGGTCAAATCCTGTCAAGAACTGTGTGAACTTAGGATGGAAGGAGAGAATGTTCACTGAGTAAATGAATACAAGCTAGGGTAGTATGGTATAGGACACTTTCTATATATTAACTCTTTTAATTCTTACAACAACTCTGAGAATAACATATAATAATAGAAGTATTACTCCCATTGTCTAGATTAAGAAATAGGCTCAGAGAAGTGAGTAACTTCACCAAGATCATAGAGCAACTACAAGGTGGAAAGGATATGTATACTTAGGTGTTGCTGGTGAACTCTATAGCTCAGTGTATTTAGTTTTTTTTTCATGTAACCTGTCCCCTCCACCCCTACATCTATACAGCATAGTGGGCTCAGGGAATGGACTTGGTATTTATTTAGTTTCAAAATATTTGAGGATTGTCCAGATCTGCTAATGATTTCTAACTTTATTTCATTATGGTCAGAGAAAAT